CCGCACAAATGCGCAGCGGTATGCGCCCTGAGACGGACCACGTGAGCTTCACTGCCCGAGTTAGCGAAACAGTGCCAAAAACCCAACCCCTCCCCCCTCACCGACAGGCTTTCAAGTGATTTACTTGTTCCTACACGAGTTTTACTTCAGAGACAAACCCAGCGGGAGTTCCTCATCCTGACTGAGCAGTACCCATGCCCGACAAAGCCCGCCGTCTAGTTCTGCGGTAGGACCTTCAGCTTCCCCGGCTCTCCCGCAGCCCTCGGGCCCGCGGGAAGGGGGACAGCTCCTCCACGGCACCGCTGAGCCGTGAGGCAGCGTACCAAACCCTTATCTGGTAGACTTTACCGAGGGCTTTGGCGGTTTACCTTATCTCTTCCAGTCACCTTTATTGAAGGCGTGCGGCGCTGCCGGCCCAGCGAAGGGCCTCTGGCGAGGCGAGCTGCGGAGGGAAGGCTGCGCGGGGGATTGCTTCACACGGCCTTTTAAACAGAGGGAGGGGAGCTTCCTCGGCGGCAGGAAGGCAGGTCTTGTTTGCTCTGGCAGACAGTCGCGTGCTTTCATCACTGCACTACTGCTCAGCCCGGGACAAACGGACTGAAAAGTGATTCTCAGGGGGAAAGGCATTTTAACCAGAAAATTTTAAGGTTCTTAGTCTAGTTCTGATGCGTGTTTTGGAAAAAGAAAAGCCTTTTTCTTTTCCTGAAAGCCAGTCTTCCAGAAAAGCTCCAATAGAAGTGATGGAATAGCAAACAGCTCCTGGCATTTCTAACTGCTAAAACACCCTTTTCCAGCCCTTTCTGACCCACCTGAAGGAGCCGGCTGTGCCTCCGCGCAGGACAGCTTCCCCTGCACCAGTCACACCAGTGTGAAGGGGCTTCTCCTGCCCCACGGCAGAGGTGCTGGGCAGTGGGAGAGGGCAGCAACGCAGCCGAGTCCACTTCTGCGCTCGCTGAGTGGCTGAGGGACCTCTGGACATCCTCTGCTCCCACCACCTGCTCGAGCAGGGCCGCCGACAGCTGCCGCCCCAGGCTGTGTCCCAGTGGCTTTTGGGGAGCTCCAAGGGTGGAGACTCCACAACCTCAGAGGGCAGCACAGAAACCCATTCAGCTCTGATCCGTCCAGTGGTGGAAAACCACAGAACAGTGGGATTGGGGGATTTGCCTGCCATCACCTCTACGGAGAGTGTTTCTCTGCTCTCACCTAATGTCTTACTTGCATCGAGGTAGATGGTAGCAGCGTTTTACGCTCAAACTGGGGTTCTCCTCCACTGTCTGGTGGGATAGCAGAAGGATGGTGTCTGGGAAAGCTGGTTCTGCTGTAAGTCACACTTTGTTCTCTTCCTTCCATGCCTACTCTCCTAAAATTGTTACCGTTCCTTCTCCCTTGCGCTAGGATTGGCTTTTCGGTCAGCCCTAAAGGTCTCTACTGTGGCAGCTTCTCTGCTTTCGGCCTCGCGTGGTACGTTCAGTGTCACCGAAGGCTGGTGGAGCCCCGTTACTTGTCCTAGTGAAGAGTACTTCGTGCTCCGCTGTTTTAGGGTAGGGACGAGGCTAAACTCCTGCTGCGATTCCTTTCCTTGCCGCTGTCGGAAGGCCGAGCGGGGCAAGGCCACGCTTGCAGCCACGCTCTCTCACTTGCACTATGGGCTGGAACGCCAAGTAGTTGTCGACGCATCACATAGGGCCTGGTAACGCCAAGCACAGAGCACGCACTCTCACGACACAGGTGATACAGCACCTTCTCTGCGGGGAATTAGCCGACTCGCAGATGCGATTCTCTCTTCTTCCTGCACTGGACGCCCTTTTTAACCCCCGCAGCAGTGCACTCGGCTCTCTGACGGGCAGCACTTGCATTTAATCACGTTTTTCATTAGCGCTGACAGGGGTGAAACTGAATTAAGAGCCTGGGTCTTGGGACTGCATCAAATTTAGCCACTGGGGAAGCAGAATTGAACGGAGCCACGTGGCAGAACGCGGTGGAGGAAGGGGGGGCTGCCCCCATCCTCCTCACACAGGATAGTTCTCCTGACCACCGCTGGCCTTGCGTCGGCGAGGCACAAACACGCACGTTGACATCCCGGCAGGTGCTTCGCAGGAGTTGTACAGCACGCCACGCTCTGCGGGCAGCAGGAGCTGAACCCCACGGCAGCGGGTGCGTGAGCAGGGAGGATAGGTTACGCTGGGCAGTCGCAGGGGGAAGGAATCCAGACCCCGATGTCTGCGACGCTTACCTGAGGGGCCTTCCCCAGCAGCCAAGGCGCTCCCTCCGCGTTTCCCTGACAGCGCTCCCGGGCAGCAGCGGCTGTGGCAAGCACTAACGAATGCAGAGCTTTTTTGCAAACATAACGAGCTTCATCTTCTCTTTTAAAACGCTCAGCCCAGCCCTGCTGCGGCAGCTGGCAGGAAAACCGAGGGGTAGTGACTACAGCGTGCACGGAAACCTCCCAAGGCACCAGCTTAGGATGGACGGGCACCGGGGCTGCGCCTGCAGCGTAGAACAGAGCCTTCAGCTCTTCCTGGGTGGGAAATCAGAGGTTATGGGACACCCGACTGACTTACAGTACCTACACGCGGAGAAACGTCTGTCCCGAAGGAGGTCATCCCTCCAAACGCATCTGGTGTGCAGGGGAGGTCAAAGCCGACGGGCGCAGCTCGCTGCTTGCGCCAGCGGCAAACTCGCCGAGGGCAGGAACGGATGGAAACGAAACACGTTCATCACCAGTCACTCTACCAGTGTTGTCAACTGTTTTTGTTGGGTTTTTTTTAATTGTTATTGTAATATATTTTGGTTGTTTTTCTAATTTAATTCTCTCACTATCGTCTGACTGTGAACTGCGAACAGTGTTAAACTTGATGTAAGTAAGGCCCGTGGAAGGGCCTCTTTGCCTGTCGTTCCACAGAGTTTTGCCAATTTGCGTTTTGTTTTAAATAAAGGTTGCAATATTTTATTGGCAAAAAAAACCCCACTGGAGCAGATGCTGCTTTTTTTTCCCCCCTCTTAAGGAATATTTGAAGCTGCTCAAGTACTAACCTGGAGTTTGTTATTTCGGGTACAAATGACAAGGTGACAGTAAACCTGTTTGTTAGAAAGAACTGAATTCTGCCAGATTGCAAAGAAAAGCAGTATCTTTATTTATGCCTTTAAAATCCCACTGAACGCTGCCGTGGAGTGGTCAGAGGAGAGC